TTCCTGACCCCATTCATATCTCCAATCATAAAGACAACCCTCAGACTAACACTCCACATGAATCATAGGAGTTTCTAAATCTTAATAACTTCCTCTTTAATGAAATCCTCTTCCTCTTTAGGGAGGGATCTGAACACCTCAGCAAGGATGACACAGAATTGAACCCCCAAACCTCCAACTTTTCAATCACCTAACTTTCTGATGGAGAAACACAATGTGCTGGAAACAGCTCTGGTCATGCCTGCACATCTGTTGAAAATCAGAAAGATAACTTACCAGGTACTCAAACGTCTAGAAGATCAAAGAAATTACAAGAGAAACTCTCTGCACTCAGTTCCTCTATTCTACCCCCCCCCCCCGCCCCCAATGACTTATTTATTTTGGAACATCTGTGGCATCTCTAAAAAGTCTGAGAGATTAGCCAACCTTATCAACAAACACAAAGTTACTATTCTTGCAATTTTGGAACCTAAAGCTAGCCCCAACAAACTCGCCTGGTACCAACTTACTCCAAGTCCAATAACATTTGGATTATGTGGCAGGAATCACATTGCCAGTTCCTTCACCACCAAGATGACAATCAAATGTTCTCCATCCACCTGCATCACAAAGCCAACAACATCCCTTTTAGTTTCAGTGGCATTTATGGAAAACATACTACTGAAGAGAGAGAAAAGAACTCTAGGATTCCATTCTGCACTTCAGCAAAACATCAAATGAACCCTGGATCCTAGGTGGAGATTTCAATGCCATCTCCTCTATTGACCATCACAAGGGAAAAAGCAAGCCTTTCCTTAATAGCATTCAAGATTTTGACACATGCATCATGAACTCATGCCTAATGGATCCCCCCTACACAGGGAACCATTTTACTTGGACAGGAGTCAGATCACTTGGGAGACTCTGGAAAAGATTGGACAGAATCTTTTTCAATGCTACCTATCTTAACAGCTTCCAAGAGATTAGCAGCCAGCACCTCTCTAGAGGTAACTCTGACCACTGTCCCATCCTGTTCAAAAGCTCCAACCCCACTTTCTCTAGTCCTAGACCCTTTAAATTCCATAATTTTTGGGCTAACCACCCCTCCTTTGGAGACACTATTCAATCCTGCTGGGGGAGGTACACACGGGGGGAATGTTTGGCTTCATGTCCAAACTCAATACCCTAAGAACCAATCTCCAAGAATGGAATAAAGCAACCTTTGGGAACATTTTCTCAAAGTTTTGGGAAATGGAGGATCTTTTTCATACAGCTGAAACCCTTTTTGACAACAATCCTACCCCAGAACACAGAGCAAATCTTCATAAGCTTAGGGCTCTTGAGACAGGCTAATAAAAACGAGTTTGATTTTTGGAAACAAAAAGCCAACCTCAAGTGGATACAAGAGGGGGACTGCAACACATCCTTCTTTCATAGTGTGGTTAAGGGGAAGAGACTTCAGCAGAAAATATCCAGGATCAAGAGCAGTGAAGGCCTATGGTTGGAGAATCCTAAGGACATCCTCAATGAAGCGAGACAATATTACTATAAACTTTTCTCCAACCACCCCACCTCCAACATGTCCTTATTCAGCCAAAACATTCCACATCTACTCACTGAGGAAGACAACATATCCCTTAACCAGCTTCCTAATGAAGGGGAGGTCAGAGATGCTGTTTGGAATCTAGACCCAAATAGTGCACCAGGACCCGATGGTTTTAATGGGGAATTCTACAGGAAATGTTGGGATACCATCAAAGTTGATGTCACCAAAGCTGCTCAGGAGTTCTTCTTAGGAATTCCTATCCCCAAATCTATGGCCAGTTCAACCATCATCCTTATTCCTAAAAAGGAGAATCCAAACTGCCTGGCTGATTTCAGACCTATTTGCTTATCTAATTTCATGGCTAAGATCATCTCAAAAATCCTCTCTCAAAGACTGTCAAGGATTCTCCCTCAAATCATCTCACCTGAACAGGGAGGATTTGTCAAAGGGAAACAAATCCAGGACCAAGTCCTTATTGCTCAAGAGCTTATTCATGGACTCGATTACAAGTGCAGGGGAGGTAACATGGCTATCAAACTTGATATGTCAAGGGAATTTGACAGAGTATCCTGGACCTACCTTCAAGAAATTCTGGACGGATTTGGTTTCAACAGTACTACCACCAACCTTATTCACAATCCCTAGAGCTCCACCTCCCTCACCATCCAAGCCAATGGCCTTATTTCGAAACCCTTTAAACCTACCAGAGGGCTTAAACAAGGTGATCCACTTTCTCCCCTCCTCTTTATACTTGCATCTGAGGGTTTCTCTAGAACCCTAAACCACAAAATATCCTCCAAACAGATTAATCCCTACCACCTGGGTAGGAACTTCCAGCCCATAAGCCACCTAGCTTTTGCTGATGATCTCATTATTTTTCTGAACGCAAGCACCACTAATCTCACCAAATTCAGCAATTTCCTAAAGGACTCTGAGATGGCCTCTGGGCAAGCAATCAACTCTAGCAAAAGCCAATTCTATCCCCCCACCAAAACCATCCCCTCTCAGTCTAATAAGATGGAATCTACCCTTAACATGATGAAAGGTTCTCTCCCTTTCAAATACTTGGGCACCCACATCCATAAAGGCATCAACAGAATCACCTACTGTAGGGACATCCTCCAACACTTTGACAACAAGCTCAAGTCCTGATACAACAACCATCTCTCCCAAAGTGGGAGGATGATCCTCATCAAACATGTCCTCAGCTCAATTCCCCTTCACACCCTTGGCTCCACTCCACTCCCCAAAAGTGTCATCAATAGCCTCAACAAAAAAATGAATAATTTCTTTTGGGGATGCAACGAGAAAAAATTTAAACATCACTGGACTACTTGGGAAGCTTTGTTCAAGCCCAAGGAAGAACGAGGACTGGGGTTCAGGAATTTGGAAACCATTCAAGCTTCCTATGGCTTAAAAATGTGGTGGTCCTACACCTCTAATAACTCTTTCTGGGCTAACTTCATGCACTCTAGATATCCCAGGGGCCTTCATTCTACAAAAAACCTACTGATTCTCCCATCTAGAGAAGACTTCTGGACACTCAAGAGGTTGCTGACAACACTCTCACCATTGACAACAACAACAACCTTATCTAGGATAATGGTCAGACTGGCTTTAGTGTACGAAACAACAACGTGATACTTTTCATAAATATGTTTGGACTCCTCAACAACTTCCCAAAATTTCCACTTTCCTCTGGAGACTTTACAAAAATCTCATCCCATTCCCAAAAAAACTAACAAAGATTGGCTTTTGCTTGCCCTCTATTTGTTTTCTCTGCAGGTCCAATGAAGACTCAAAAAATCACACCCTCTTTCAATGCTCCTACAGCAAAAATGTTTGGAATCATTTTCAACGCACCTTCAAAATCTGCAGCTCTCCAGCACATGGAATATGTACTTATCTTATGCAATGGTGGAGGGGGAACAGAAACACAGATCTGCATCAAAAATCAAAATTGGTCATACCAGGAATCATCACTCACGAAATCTGGAAAGAAAGAAACAGAAGAATCTACAACCAAGAGATGAAGTCTGAAACACAACTGATTCATGCCATTTGGAAACAATTTTACGAATGGGCAGCAGCAAGGGGGAAAGGTCAAAAACAAATCATAGACAACGATACCCCAATCTTCAAATTTCCGGCAATAAAAATATTCAAATGGACGAAGGTAGAGAAAGGAAGCATCCTAACCACCGATATTGCAATTACGAACAGTTTCTCAGTGGCGGGAGAAATTTTAAGATCAAAGAATGGTGAATTTCTTGGCGCCATAACCAGAAAACTAAATCGCGTACAGGAACCGGAGGATGGAGAACTTGAAGCTGGGCTAATTGGATACTCTTGGGCCTTACTCAACACAATTGGGCCAATACACTTACACATGGACTCAAAAAATACGGTGAGGAGACTACAGGGACATGACGATGATACTTCGACTTGCGTCACGCTAAGAGAGTTAATTCACAGTAACGATGGAGACGCTAGACACATCTATGGAGAAGAAAACACAGCGGCTCATTTTCTAGCAAGGAATGCAATCACCTCTAACATTTACACTTCATACACTCACTTCTCTCAACTTCTTAAACTTGTTAAGGGAGCAATAAGAAGTGACCTCACTTGTAACTTTATCCGTCTGAAATAATACAAAAAAAAATTATACACACACACACACACACATATATAGAGACACACACACACACAGATATATATATATATATATATATATATATATATATATATATTGCAGTTTTTGAACCTATTGTCAATAGGAGCAAAATATCCTTCTACCTTCTAAAACTTGGATACAACTCCTATGATACCTCCCCTACCAACAAAATATGGATCTTCTGGAATTCGCACAACCTTCACCTCACTCACTGCTTTAAAGAGGAACAGATTTTAACCTGCAGGTTCATCATTAATAGCTCATCAAAGGTCCTTAATATCTCCTCTATTTATGGCAAGCATGACCTAATCCAAAGGAGGGACTTATGGAACCCCATTACTGCTCATAGACCTACTGATGAAATGTGGATTTTAGGAGGCGACTTCAACGCCATCACCTCCTTTTCAGAACACAAAGGTACCTCTACCCCGTGCAGCAGAAGAATAGCAGAATTCAATGAATGCATTGAAGAGAACTCCCTTATACAGATTTCTCCTTCCAAAGGATGGTTTACTTGGTGTGGGAAAAGGGGCCAAGGGAGAGTTTGGCGAAGGCTTGATAGAATACTAATCAACTCAGAGGTTGTTAACACCTTTGATGAAATTAGCTGCAAACACCTTAGTAAAACTGGATCCGACCACAACCCCCTCCTTCTTGAGTGCACCACTGCCCACTTCTCAGCCCCCAAATCCTTTAGAATCCTTCACCCCTTGCTCACACACACAACATTCCTTGCTATGGTATCAAAGTACTGGAGCTCAACACCAACCTCAGGAGGAATGAGGGGCTTATGTAACAAGCTTCAAGGACTAAAGGCTGTCATCAGAGAATGGAATAAGAGTATCTTTGGGGACATTTTTTTAGCTGTCAAACAGGCCGAAGAGGAATCCATGGCTGCAGAAATTGCCTTTGATGAGAGGCCAACAGAAACAAACAGAGAAACTTGGTCCAAAGCTAAAGCTAAGCTCATCCTAGCCACCAACAGAGAAGTGGAATACTGGAAGCAGAAAGCTAATGTAAGATGGATGGAAAAAGGTGATGCCAACTCAAAATACTTCCATTCCCTTGTTAAAGGCAGAAAACACAAATTATCCATCAAGCATATCAAGTCCTCAGAAGGCAGAAACCTTACCCAGCCCAAGGAAATCCAAACAGAAGCTGTTAACCACTTCACCAAAATTTATACCAA